TTAAGTCACTCAACCTGTTTCCTCAATTGTAAAGTGGTGATAATAATGCCTACCTTGCAGAGTTGTCTCGAAGATCAAATGAGATAATAATTTTAAGAACACTTAGCATGGTGCCTGGTATATCATAGGTACCACATAAATACTTATTCACTTCTTCCCATTCTAGAACTCCTGTCTTATTGATAACATTGTTCTTTATATTAGACCAATACCCCCCAATACCTAAAATTGCTTTGCATACCTTTGGTATTTATATGCCAAAAGGCAGGAACAGCTTAATTTTATCTCTGTAGCCTCCATACCTATCAGATTGCCTGGCCTGGTATAGGCCCTGTACTCTTGTTAAATTAAACCGGATCAGTCCTTTTCTACCTCCATGCCACTTGGTTAGATTCTCATCATTTTTTCCAGATTCTTGTAGCAGTCACCTCATTCATTTTTTTGCCTCTGGTCTTTTTCCTCTTCTAATCAAGTACATATCCTGATTTCAAGCTAATCATTCTCACACTGCTTTCATCAGCATACTCCCGGTTCAGGAATCCAGCAGCTCCATTGTTAACCTTTCCAGATCAAGCTTAAATTTAGCCTAGCCTGGAGGCTCTTTGCTGTCTGACTTCATTTTTCAGTATTCATGTCATAGTGTCTAGGCTGTAGCCAGGCTAGTCTTTTTAAGTATTACTCATACTTTACCCTACCCCTAGAATGGCTTCTATACCACCTTACTATTAGCTTTTGTCGCTTCTTTGACTCACTTTTCAGACTAATTGCTTACTTTGTTTTGAGTTCCTTGATACATACAGGTATATTAAAATCTATTACTTCATAATCTCTCATTGATGGAGTTCTATCAGTCTTACCCTAACAGAACAAAAGTTCCTTAAAGGCAGGATGTGTTTCACGGTCGCCTTTGTAAACCCAGTTCCCAGCATATAGTAGGTACTTAATAAATGACTATAGATTGATTTGGGTTGCTTTTGCCTAAATCTCTACTTGGTAAAGCTACTTGAGACTAGGGATTCTGTTTTTTACGTAATTATTATCCTTCTTTGGGATCCCTCCCTCCCAGCATGGAGTACAAGCCTAAATCTATGACATACTTTAATAATCACATATAAAATGAAAGGGATTTTTCCATAAACACATCTTGCTTATTACCTTAGAGCTTTGCCCATTTTATCTAATATGAGAAGCCTAGGCTTTCTGAATAGAAAAGAATAGTGAAACGAATCTGCCCTTGCATTGACTCCTGGACCTAAATACACACACCATTATTCGTCCTGTATATTGCTACATTTATTTAATTCCTCAAGGAGCATCTACTAGTGGAGTTACATAGTTACTGTTACCATATTTAATATTTCAGTGATACTTTAGAACAAATGCAGCATTTACCATTCGGAAAAATCCAAACACCTGACATTCCAACAGTCAAAAAAGGGCAGTTGATCATGGCAGGGAAGGGGCTAGCTCTGGGGGCTCACCATTTTTGCTGGGAGGGGAAATTGGCTAGGTAGTTTTTGAGAGGAGGAAACAGTGATGGGTTCCTACAATTGGCTTCTTGGCAGTTACAATTCTTGAGTTCTGGATTAACTTTTACTTTCATTGTCTTTGAGCAGGAAAAAGACAAACTGAAAAGCACACAGACTTAAAAACAATATAGTTCAATTTTCTTAGGCCACTGCCCAACAAATCAAAGGTCATCTCCAGAGGATTCTTTCTGGCTGCTAAGATCTTGAAGCAGCTTCTAATAAACTTTTCCTCCAAGAAATTATCTAGCCACAGAGGGCATAAAGAAGAAGATACTTCCCATTAGCGTTTGCTGTGTTCAATTCCTAAATTAAAGAGGTAAACTTTCCTTACCAAAGCCTCAAACCCCAACTTTACAGCAACAATAGGAGTCACTTAGAGAATTAGATATCAGTCTGGTGTTTAAGTTCATTTAGGAGTCATTCTAAAAGAGCAAAGAAATCAGTGTCTGAGAAGGAATGTCAAGCTTTAGGATACAAGCCAAATAATCCAAAAATTTCCCTTCACTTTCAAGTACTTCAAGACACCTTGATTAAGAGGAGGTTTGGAGTGTCTTAGGCTTTTGAAAAGGCTACATATATGTAACCTATTTCTTTCACTCTTTTCCTCCCATACTGGTTTCACAGCCAGCCAGCCAAGCTGCTTCCCACCCTAAATGATCTAGTTCATCCTCCTTTTTCACCACAGTTCTTTGGCCTTTTCCTTTTGTTTTTTGGATGAAAGTGAAAAAAAAATCTGCTGTATAGCAACCTCTCGTTAAATTGCTTGACTTTACTTGGAATGATTAGAATTAGGCATAAAATTAAAAGTGGGCCATCCTACATAATGTGTATGAAGCATTTATGTTTCAAGTATTTTACTGGCAAACACAGTCAATGTAAAAATAGCATATGTTGGAGCTTCAAATATTGCTAGTATTTAATTTATGAAGGCAGTCTTTTTTTGGTCCTTTTTAGGTGGTAGAAAATAACATCTTAAAATATAAATTTTCATATCTAAAAGCAAATTCATTTATCACTAAGGCCTAGAAATTTTACATGCTAAGACACACACAAAAGGGAGCACTGCCATTTGGCTCATGGTATCAATACAAATGAGTTCTATTCTGTTCTTCCTTTAATACTGTACTTGAGTATTTTCACGTATCTGGCAACTGATTATAGTGAACATTTCACAGTATTCCAACAAACAAGTGTTTCTTCCTTGAGAGACCTTGCCTCATATCAACAGATATGGATATTTTGAGGGGTTTTTCTTTTTGTTTTGTTTTTTTTAACATAAATTTTATTTTATATTCCATTGACAAATACATGTATACAAATACATGAACAAAGCATAAAAAAATAGGAAGAGCAAATATGAACGCAAAGGGAAATAAGAAAAGATTACAAATGACCGCACGTGTCTGCAAGTTGATCACTTACTGATCATGACCACCATCCCAAGATGTCTCTATGGACTTTAACATAGTCCATCTTTTCTTGATCCTATTTAACACTGAGGCAGGGACTGTTGCCTGACCTAGCAGATAGTAGAAGTTTTTTAAATGTTTATCAGAATAATCTTAAATCTTAAACAATGTTCAGTTAGGCATGATGCATTGGTATTTGGGTCTTGTGTACACATGGTTTATTAGACTGTAAGCTTCTTGAGGGCAGGGAATTTTTGCCTTTCTTTGAATTTCCAAAGTTTAGCACAGTAGGTGCTTTAATGCTTATTGACCTGGAAATGGCTTCTCAGATGCCAGATGTATAATTACTGAGACACAACCATTTTAAAGCCCTTTGGGCTTTGGGAAAATTCTAATGGAAACCAGTACCCTGGGATCCAAAGTAAAAAAGATCAAAGTCTAAGAATATACCTTTTGTTCTTCCTCTCCTTTTAAAAGTATCTTTAACATAAATATTTATCAGCATCTTTTCTATTCATTCCCTACTTCTCCTCTCCCAACTTCTTCCCTTGTCCCTGTTTTTTTTTCTCTCTCCATCTTCATCCCATTCACTATTTCTGTTAAAAAAAGATGACTTTTTTTCTCTAAATGATTCTTTAGTTTCCATAGGAACCATTTAAAATCAGGTTTGCCCATGCCAGAAGTCAGAGAGGCTAAGGGAAGTGAAGAGAAAAATGAAGATATTCAATAAATCATTTAGTAGTAAAGCACTCAGAAGAGAGAGGAAAAAAATGAGATGAGATGTCATTCCACCACTGGAAGGACCTATTTTCAGCCCTTTTTTGTTGCCTGAAGCATTCCAAGATGGGACTAAAATCAATCTTGTAATTTCTCTCAAGATAATTTGTTCTTTTCCCTCTCCTCTCCTTTCATTTCTTCTTCCCTTTCCTCCACTGCTTATCAGTGTGTAGGTGATTTAGGGTGAAAAGAAATTGGCAAATTCTGGTGAAGATTAAGGTTCCTTTCAGACAGAGTTGGCTTTAGGAGTAGGCAGAGTAGGTAGTTGTATATATGATGTTTCACAGACAGCAGAAGGCTCCTATGCAAAAAAGAACAAAAAACAAAGAAAATCCCAACTCTCCCCCCTCCAAACTCTTCTCTGTTCAAGAATACTAGGAAATTCCTCAATTAAAGATTAATTCCTTTTACTTAGGGATTTATCCCTTTTTAAAATGCAAATATGCCTTAAAGAGTTAACATATTAAACTCTACTATTCATTTTCATCTTAGGGTAAATGAGTTTATAATTCAAAGATTTGAGTTTGTTAATACTTTACTGAGAATAGATTTTTGTAGGAGAAAAGAAGAGAATGAAAAAGGGCACTGGGGTATGGAATGGGAACAAGTAAAAAAACTGAGGCTAGAAGTGCCAGAGACAAACTTTATCTATTTCATGGTTTTGCCTAAAGCCTGCCCTGATTACAGGGCAGGGTGACTGAGAGAGGCAGCAAGGGTGATAATGTTGGTGGGAAGAACAGTGCAGTTTTTGTCCAAGATATCCCAGTTTTTCTCTCTTTTCTCGTAACTCTCACTATTTCAGCAGCCTCTTAATTTGTCTCCCTGACTCCAGTCTCCCTTCTCCAATACATCTTCCACACACGACATTCCTACCATCTGGGTCTGATCATGACAAGTACCCTACTCAAGAGCTACTGCCTCTAGGATAAAATACAAACTCTTCTGTTGGTCATTAAAGCCTGTGACAGTCTGGTTCCAAACTATCAGTCCAGAAGGATACTGCCAACCTGGGCTACTTGGTGTTCCTGTCTTACGTGGATTTGTATCCATAATATTTAGCACAATTCCTAGTACATAGTGGGTACTTAATAAATGCTTATTGCTTGCTTTTATCTTGCAATTATACAAAATGATTACTACTTATATAGAGATTACATTATAAGAGGGAGGAGAAAGCCTCACATAAAAGAAAAAACATGAATTGACAATAAGTGTATCAAATATATTTATTGTTTAAATATTTAATATTGTGTTACAGTAATGGCAACGTGCAACATAATGTTTTAAGTTCAATACACTGAAGTTGAACAAAATGCAAATTCCAGAAATTTTTGTTTAGAGCACAGAGATTTCATTAAGGGTTATAAAGCCAACTCTTGGAGAAAAAAACACAATCCATTTATAAAAATAATAAAAATTTTGAAGTGAACAGATCCTTCTGAAATCTCTAACATAATTTTTATTGAGTACTTCCTCAACCTTTCTAAATAGCTGAAATACAGTAGTCTTAAGTGACATAAGTGAAAGTTTCTCTCAAGTAAACTATACAAAAATCATATATATTGAGTTCTTTTCTCCCTGTTGGTGGTATAGCCTATGGGGAAAAAGATAATAGTAAGTCTTGAGGCTTCAAAAGTGGCACCACACAAATATAAGCAGAGAGGTTCTCCTGTACTACAGAAAGGAACCCAACCCCTTCTCCCTGGACCACAGCATCCTGAATTAACTAGACTGGAGTCACTCATTACTGTAACAGTGTTTACCTGCTATGACGTATCTATCTGGATTTTCCAGCAAATCCAGCACAGGTCCAAAATGTAGCACTTATTTCATTGCTTCCTCAAACAGAATCTAAAGTTTGCCCTACCCTATATTACTATTCTAACTCGTCACAGAGTTTGCAAGAAAGATGTCCTGTCATTTAAGTAAAGTAGTGGGTATCCCAGATCATTCACTGCTTTTGTTAAGTATGAAAAAGTCAGGGGCGTCAAAGCTTCTATCTGTGTATAGAAGATACGTGGATACATGGAGCTGGCTCTCACCTGATGTTTGTGGGTCCCAAGTATTTCTAATTATAGACATAGTTGAAAAGCTTTCTCAACCTGCCCATTACAGGTCTGGGCTCTGGTTCTACACCTGCATTTTGTACTCTGCAAAGGGCCTGGGATGCAATGATACACACAGAAGGCTCAGCATCATGCAGCAGAGGTCTCAGAACTAAAGAAAGAGACAAGTGCTGATTAAAGGCTCAGTCAGACTTAAGATTCTTTGATTCAGACATGGGAGCATTGGTCCCTACATGGTATAGCAGAGAACACAGGACCCCACCAATTCTGTAACACTCCATGTGGTTTTAGATCTTTCTGACTCATGAAACACACAGAGCCTAAAACAGATTCTACCTTCTGCCAGTTTTATGTCTATATGTACATAGACGTCTTGGTCAATCCCAAAGCAGTTATTTGTATCCTCTGTATGTGTCAAACATTCATTTAACACTTTATTCTGAGTAATAATTAAATTTTCAAGTAACAATTATATTGCCAAATTATCTATTCATAGGAATGGTCTGTTTTTATTATTAAATGCAGGTGGAATTGTAAAGGAACATATTCATTCACTGTTGGTGGAATTGCCAACTAATAGAATATTTTTGGAGAGCAATCTGTCAACATATGGTAAAAGTTATAAAAATAATCATACCCTCTACAAAATTCCCAGGAGTTCCTGGGAATATATCTTGAAAGTTTTATAATAAACAAAAAAAAACCCACTTATCTGTTCAAAGATTTCATAGCAGCATTATATGTAATTATAGAAACAAAAACAAACAAAAAAACAACTGGAAACGACCTAAATGTCCAACAATAGAGGAACAGTTAAATAAATTGTAGTACATTAATATAATTCAATAGTGCAGTATAATATTGACAAATATGAGGAATACAAAGAAATCCTCAAAGAACTCTATGAAATAATGCAAAGAAGAAAAAAAGAACCAGGAGAATGAAATACATAATAATCTCAACCAAATAAGAAAGAAAGTGAATGAGAATGAATGGACAAGGAATCCTGATAAGGACTTAGAAGAAGTGACTGAAAAGTTGTTACGATGCATTAATTTAAATGTAAATAAATTCTAGGGAAATTTGTTGTATTAATATTCATTGTTAAGATTTTCATAAAACTTTTAAAAGATTACATCCTTAATGATTAACTTTGTGTCCCTAGACTAATCTAAGGACCCCTCTCAAATCTTAACTCTCTTTTTTGTCTATAATTTTTCCAGATCTCAAAGCTGATAGAGAGGAATCAGTGATTAATGATTAGTGAGAATGATCCCAAGTGGGTCTATATGTTTACTTGTGAAACGTTTGCTTCACGGAAATTATTTTAAGATGTTTTAATAAAAGAGTTGTGTTTTTTATTTGTTCTTCCCAAAGAAATGGAATGATATGGTTCTAATCTGGTTCTCAGATAAGGCTAATAAAGCCATGTATGGTCTGGACACTGAGATCACACTATCTGGTGGCAGCATATTCTAATTGCAAGAAAGGTACACAAGATCAAAGGCTCTTGATTGCTGAAATTGCAAAGCTATAAAATGACAATAAAACTTCACTCTAACAACTTAACTATGTGGCTGCCCTTTATAGGTGCAAACTTCCCTATCTCCTTACTGGAAAATTACCATTGATTCACCAGATATAATTAAGCAGTCATTTAGGTTGTGAACCATTATTTGGAAAGCCTTACCATTTTCTCAATAGGGTTACTAAGTAATGTCTCACATCTAGCAGGCATATTCTGGAAAATCTCTGAATCAGACAGCAGAATAGGCTTCCAGATATATATATAAACCATGCCTAAGTATTGAATGGTACCAAGACCAAGATAGCTTAAATCACTGAAATGGATAGCAGTGGATGATTCTTTGGAGATTTCATCTACTTTCCTGATCTCAATTATCACCTCTGCTAATGATGCCCCCTCCCTCAAATTACATCTCCACTCTCATCTCCAGAGCTCTAATATCATATTTCTAACTGCCCACTAGATATTTTTACCTAGGTATCCCACCAATATCTCAAATTCAACACATCTAAAACTGAATTTATCTTCCCCTCCTTCTAACATTTATATTTCTGCTGTTCAGTCACTCAGACTGGTAACCTTAATGTCATTTTTGATTCTTAACCTTCATTCGACCTCCCAAATCCAATTGGTTACCAACTCCTATCAATTCTACCTTTGTAATCAAATCAGCCCACTCCTATCTAGGTTATTCTAACTGCCCAGGCCTCATCTCTTCTCATTTAGACAACTGTAACCTCTTAACTGCATTGCTTCCTCCATCATATCCCCTCTACAATTCACTCTTAATATCACTGTCTGAAGAATCTTCATTTGAGATAATGCTTATAAAATGCTTTTTAAACCTTAAAGTGCTACATAAATGTCAGAAGTTGTTATGATTAATGTTATTTTTATTCTTCTCATCTTTTTTGATAAGGGTCACATAGAAATGGTCCTGGGACAATTCATTATCTTGCTATATTAATTCTTGAATGTTCTACAGGTGGATAAAATAACTGCATTTTGTAGTTGAGTAACAGTATTAGGATGCTAGCTCATCCTCTGAGGGCTCACTGACAGCACCCTTGGTACAACTTGAATGCAGACATTGCAACAGTGATAGTACCTCATTTTGTTTCTGTGTGATTTTGATATGTCTGCTACATGACTATATTTTGAAAGCTATTGGTTCCATGAAGCTTAGAGATTTGGTATGGTAATATGTATTAAAATGGCTCTTCTTAAATTTTTATGTCTCAATGTTGTGTCTAGGCAACTTTGCGCAACAGGTTAATTTATGATAATGGTCTGGCCAGCCAGTCAATAAACATTGGTCCCATTACAGTATAATTTACTGGCTGAGCTCTTCAGGATATTTTGAAGTTTGTCTTTATAGCATAGGGATTTGTCATCTGTCCATGAACAGTGAGATTCTAATGTATAATTCTAAGCTATCAGGTCATTTTTTGCTAGGTGTTTGAAAGGTGCTAAATCTTTATAGCCCATAATGAGATATTGCAGTTTCTATCATTCTCTTGAATACGCCAAATTGATTAATAAATCAGGGCTCCTTAAGGATGACATTTCTGTAGTTTTGGATGGCAATGACTTATTTCTGAGTTGACATCATAAGCTGACCCCTCTGTTCCTACAAACAAATCTGCTGGACTCAACTTGTTCTGGTCACATTACCCCTCTACTAAAAAGTTTTCAGAGGCTCCCTGTTGCCAAAGTATAAACTCCTGAGTGTGGCATCCAAGGTCTTCCACAATCCAGTTTCCCCCGTGCCTTCTCAGTATTCTGTCATCCTTCTCCCCTCCACATATACTATGTTCTAGGCAAAATGGATCCTTTTCTATTCTCCATTCTTGTCCTATCCTCTCCTATGTCCATGCCTTTACTTTTTCCCATTCCCTATTCCTAGAATGGATTCCTTCTCTCCCCTACCACACTTTTATCTGTTAAATGTCCTCCCTTCAAGGACCAAATAAGGTACAATCTTCTCCATAAAGCCTTTCCCATGCTCCCAGTTGCATGTAATTTCTCCCTCATTCCTCAAAACTTCTGACAGAACATTGCCTTGACGTTTCCTTTGTACTGACCACACTATCTTATATAACAGATATTTGTGTATTTACTTTTTCTCCCTTATTAGACTCTAAACCCTTGAGAGCAGGACTTTTGTCACATCTATCTTTATATTCCTAGCACTTACCATAGTGCCTTGCAATAGCAAGTACTTAATAATTGTTTATTGAATTGAATTGGAGGCCGTCAAAATGCTACAAACATGGTGAGACTCATGCTTTGGGGATCAAAGTTGCTCAGCCTTACCTTGCAGAAGATCTTCAGTAAATTAAAACAACTATGTATTTCTATCTAGTCTAGATACGCCAGACATTGCCCCAGTCAGTTTCAGAAATATATATGGACTCCAAACTCTCAAGGATTATCACCTACCATCCTCTATCCACTCAGTGCCCTTTATACGGAGTTGACAGTGGTCTGTGTACTTAGCTAAGAGCCCTAGATGTAGGAGAAAAACAAACAAATCATTTATTTGGCTTTGTGCTCTTGGAAGTAGATGGTAAAGCATTTCTCTCTTTTGGAAAACTAAACAGTTTACAGATAATGAAACTAAGCAGTTTGAGATAACTAAGCAGGTTCTTAGAACTGGCATCTTAGGATCTGGTAGTTAGCCACAAGAAACCCAGTTTTCTTTCTCCCAGAAGTCTCTTCCATAGTAATTATCTTCAGGGATAGGAATAACAGAAAACATAGGGAAAGTTTGGGAAGATGTACTCTGTCCTCATCTCTGCTTCTTAGAATGCCTTAGTTCAAATACCACCTCCTACAAGGCCTCTCCTTATTCTCAGCATCAGTAGTACTCTCCTCCCTGAAAGCATTTTGTGTATATTTTATACTGACTTATTAGTCAAGTTTCCTCTCTCTCCTCCTCCCCCCCCCACTCCCAACAGAATGGAAGCTCCTTGAAAGCAGGGGCTACCTCACTTGTCTTTGTATCCCAACACCTACCATAGTGCCACACATATCCTTAATAAATGCTTGTTGGGTGAATGAATGAATTAAATTAACTATAGAAATAAAATAAAATAAGATGATTTTTTTGTCACCTGTAAAGAGTACTGCTGCCCTTCTTAAATGGACTTGATGGTTTTGGGTATACTTTATGGTCTGCATCATAATGTTACATTTCCCCCTACATTTTTGTTCCTGGGGGGCAAAGGGGAGGGGAAGAAAAGGCATAATAAGTGGTGTCAATACAGATGCAATATTTATAAACCTCATTGCTGCTTCCCAAGGGCACAGACTATGGTACATGTGTGGTTAATATGATAGTACTTGATAAATAATAACAAATCTCTAAACACAAAATAACAGATCTCCACATCTTTGTTCATGATGCCCTGAAATGCTCTCTCCATTTTGCTCCACCTATCCTTGAAGGTCCAGCTAAAGTCTTTCCTCCTGTACTACAAAGCTTTTTTTCTTGATGGCTACAACAATCTCTCCCTTCTCTGAACCTCTGTAATACTTTTTTGTCTATCCCAATTATTTGGCACTTAATCATTTATTTAACTTGACATTCATATTTAACTTTTTGTGAATACAGGCAGAATTTGTGTCTTGTACTTCTTTGTATCCCTCACAGCTGCCAGCACGGTGCCACTATATTCAAATGAACAAATGAATGACTATTAATGAATGAACAAACCTCAGACTATCCATATACCATCCTGCGGAAGAGATATAGGTAGGGCCTCTCACATTTCTTAGCTATAGCTTGAATGTAAATATGAACAAAGCAAATCGTATCTTACTCTGAGAATCTCAGGGATATCACTGACTAATTTCATTCATTTATTTTCATTTATTAAGCAACACCAATTTTTTCTTTTTCTTTTTCTCCCCAAGTCCAGAGCTCTTTATTATTAAAGTATAATAACTAACATTTATGTAGGTTTGCAAAGCATTTTACATATATCTCATTTTATCCTCACAGCAACCCTGGGGAGGTGGGTGCTGTTATAAACGAGACAAGCAGTATAAGTGACTTTCCTAGAATTACAGAGCGAAGAAGTAGAGGCTTAATAAATCATTGATTGATTGATCCTAGTTCTGCTATCTAGGTCCAGACAAAATTAGGCTGTCTTCTATGTGCCAGCCCTTCAAGTATGTGAAGACTTTAGGTTGCCTGGTGGATAGAATGCTAGACTTGGAATCACATATGTATAAATTCTTCATCAACATGAATCTTAATAAAGTAGTTTATTCCAACAAGCACTTGACTTTTAAATTCCATAGTCTTAAAGACTGGAAACTTCCCATTTTCTTTCTCTTCAAGCCATGTCTTTACCTTGTCTGAATTCTGCTGCATCTCAGCCATGGCCAGTTTGGCAGTCAAAATTCTTCGGCACATCATCCTTGCAAGTTTAATGGCAGACACAGAGTAAGGGATGGAGGATTGGAAGGAGTGAGAACACTACCATTTTTTTTCTAAACAAAATAACGTTCATTCTCTAATTCTTCCTCTTCTTCCTAGGATACTTTTCTGCTCAAGGTGATATCCTTGGGGTTTATGTCATAGACACGGTAGTTTATAAGAGTTTACATGAGTTTACTTTCTAGTTCACTTCCAAAGTTAGGATATAATTTAGAAATATATAATGTGTGAAAGGCTACATTCTACTTAAACAGAAAAAAGTACCAACAGACCTACATTAAGGAGTAGGAAATAGATCATACAAAGTAGATATTACATAGAAGACATGTTAACTGTCCTCATGGAGCTTACAAATCAACCCAGATAAGACATTTAAACCAATTGTCTTGCACTTGCTACTATATTTAGTATTGCTATATTTAGCATTGATATATTGTCATATCGACTTAGTAACAGGTCAAAAGTACAACATCCAACCAAAGTACTTAAGCCAGTAGACTTCACTCTAGCTTCTTGTGAGTTTGCCTTGGGATATACCCTATGGGGTCCCTCCAGTATCTAACTATGCTAAGTAGACTACACTGGGCCTACTTTAAGCAATAATCTAGAGGATCTCTGGAGGAGGCTGGCTTAGTCGAAGGAACTTCCTAGCAGGATCAAACTAGCTCCAAGTACAGACCTCCTAGGATAATTCTGGGCAAGGCTATAACTATCAATTTATGTATCTAGAGCAGAAGAGTTAGGGGGCAGGAAGAGAAAGAATAAAATGTGAAGGTTCTAAGCTGCTTTAAAGTGATAAGGCAGCCCAGAGAAGGCCACTGCTACCACCATCTTACATTACAGGGAAAAAAGGCACACGTTTGGGATCGTTTTGTTAGTACCCTTTAAATTTTCCCAAGGGGACACCCCAGATTATCCTACTCTAGTCATGGCTCTGATGTGGGTTTCCTTAAGGCTATCCTGAGTCCAAACCTAGATCTGACAACAATCATCAGAAGCTTTCTTAAGTTTGTGGAGAGAAGATACATGTCCCAGAACAAGAGCTGGAGGGGTATTGGCAGCAATAGTGATGTTCATGTCAGGCTGAATAGGTTGAATTGTCTCACACTACCTTAGTGGCCCACATTGTTACAGCACCTTCTGTCAGCTGGTGAAACAATCCACTTCATTAGATCCAGGGAACAGTTTAGAGATGGTTTCAAAGCTAATATATCACATTTAATTCAAACCAACAAACAAGCACCTGTTGTGTGCTTGACAGTGTAACCATTAAGATAAACTAGTAGAGTTAGAAATCTGTTCCATAGTCATTTTCTAGGGATAGGGGTAAATGGAAGGTGGAATTGAATTTAGTCACCCTGAAACTACAGATCAGAGATCCAATGATAACAGCCAATGAAACAGGAAGGAGCAGGAAATGTCCAGTTATCCCATTCTTCTCCATTATGAAAAGCCATTACACCAAAGAATTCACCATGGCACTACCATTCACTTACAAAGAATTTGCAGACTACTCCTATTCCAGAAGAATTGCTGTGCCAAGGATCTTTATTGTACACTTCTTGTGGCAGCTTCCATTTTAAGAACTGGCAACATATAGTAAGAACCCTACAGCTCTCCTGTGAAGAGTTGAAATTGGGAACAAACATCTATTATAAAATAAACAAAGTAAGATTTGGCAGCCCTACTGAAGCTACTAGGTACCTGGTAGGTACCTGGGCGGGAAGATCCTTTTCCCAAAGAAGTGGTACCAAAAGTTGGTGTTCTCAAGAGCTACATCCTAGGTTAGCATGCATACCTTGGGCAGAAAATAAATGCCTAGTTGACCTGTTAATAAGCACACTTCTGACATGCTTATTATTGTGCACAAGCATGTGCTCTGAGTAGTCAATCTGCTGACCATTTTCCATTCCCTCCTGCCCTAAATGGCATATGTTTAAATTACAGTCCCCGCAACAAAACTGAGCAAATGGTCCTCCTCCCTACTAGCCCAATGGACCCAGAAAAGCCTTCATTATGCATTGTACCCTTAAAGATTTCACCCCAACATCTTATGTCACCTAGAATTTCTGATTTTCCTTTTGTCTCATAACCCATCTTATTCCTCATTTTGACTAATACTCCCCCCCCCAAGTTCCATTTCATCTCTTCTTCTAGTTCTGATGCCCAGATCTCTGCCATAGCCCTCCTCCCACTTTAGCAAATAGCTCTCCCCACCCAAAAAGGCTCATCCTTAATCCTTGATTTGCTGACAAATTAGTGGCAGGAGGTGATAGGACAGAAGCCAGTATAGAAATGGCAAATCTGGCCCCACTGTTTAAGACAAGTTTCCAAACTGACAGCCTGACCTCAGGAAGAAATCCCCCAGAAATCTCTATGATTTGCTTACTACATGGATGGGAGAAAATGGCAATGGCTCTTACCTCAGCAACAGCATCATCTTCATCCTGCAAATGGAGAAGCAATGGAATCAAGCTCTCTAGAATTTGGCCCTCTATGTCCTTTTTATCCTTGCGTTTCGCCACCTTAATGGAGTCTCCAAAGAGGTTCATAGCCAAAAGATGAATATTTGGTCTAGCCTAGGAAGGAGGTGCCCAAAAAGAGACTCAGTTAAACATAATCACTCTTGTAGTGTGGCAATAATCTGTTACCACTCTCTTGCTCAAATATCTTCAGTAGCTCCCTATTGCCTACTAGGTAAAGCTGAAAATACTCTGTCATATTCAAGGACCTCCATTCCTTGTGTCACTTTAAACTCTTGGCCTTATTTTATAACACTTGTTGTGTACTCTACACTCCAGCGAAACTAATCTACCTTCTGTCCCTTAAATGTGTCACATTTTCTGTCTTTATTTTTTTACTCATACAATTCCTTAAATATACTCCTTCCTATTCCTCTACTGAATTTCTACCCCAACCTTTCTAAGCCAACTGAAATGTCACCTCCTTTATGAAGCCTTGCCTAAATTCTGCCCTCCTACACTCATTGGTAATGACCTTTCCCTTCAGACCTCACGCAGCACTTTGCTTTGCATCTCTCTAATGCACCTGTCAGTGTTAATTTGCATTATCTATGTGTATGCTTCATTCTCCTACAGGGCAATAAGCTCCATGAGAGCAGAGATCCTATCTTATCTAAACTTTGTGTGTGTGTCTCCCTAGTATAGTGCTCTGCATTCAAAAACCATTATTAAACCATTATTAAATATTTCTTGAATTGGACTAAATTAGGTTGGATTAAACTGAACTCAGATAAATTGCTCACCTAGACAAATCATTTAATAATTCTGCATAATTATTATCTTGAAATTACTTGGCAGAAGGAAGGAAATCTAAGATGGGTAAGGATCAATAAGACACAGGAGATGGAAATATTTGGCCACTGCCTGCATATGAGCAATGGAGCCCTTTCTATCTGTCAGTTTATAACTGACGTGGAATAACAAATATACATATACCCTATTCATGTTATCTTTCTGCAAGCCAAGCACCCAGCTTTAGCACATTCAAATTCACCAATCAGTTTTTGAAAGTAAACTCAATCTTCCTTTCAACATGTCCTCCTTCCCCATCCTGTAAGGGAGTCTGTTGTTGAGAAAGAACACCAGACAAGAGGCCAGAAGAACTAGATTTTAGTCCTGGCTCTGCATACAACTTACTCTGTGACCTGAGCAAGCCACTTGACTTTGTGGTGCCTCAATTTTCTCACATATAAAATGAAAACAATAATGCTTATCCTAACTAGCTCATATGTATATCTTCAGCATCAAGTTAGACATGGATACAAGAATGCTCTGAAAATGATAAACATCTTACAAACGTAACAAATTAGCATTATTAACAACTCTAATCACCATACACATACTTATGTATGCATACATAATACATACATGTATACATATATATCCATGTGTGTATACATATATATATATACATATATATATATATACACATATATATTTTTAAAGTACTCCATACTTTGTAAAGTTTTCCCTTCCCTTCTTTGTCTTACATCACTAAATAGGGAGAATAGGGCCTGCATGGTAGTTTTGAGTGTAGTAAAGTCCATGGAATTAAGGAGATTTCGGAGTATATTGATGGACAATAAAACAATCCTTTCATCTGTTTCACTTAAACTGCTAAGAAGACTGGTATCATGCCCTTGATAGCTTCCTCCTGCATACCCAAAAAGAATTCAATTAGAACCTTACTTGCAAAAGTCAATATAATATATATTTCATCTCAGATTGTTTTAGCAAAAGTTATTTACCCTAGTCCTTCTTTAGTGCCTAGTGGTTTGATTTCCAACAGGAAACAATACCAGGTATGGAGAAAGAGATAGAGACAAGGTTCCCAAGGCATCCTTTAAAGCCCCTAAGGCTATTCCTAACCCAATGGCCAGGTCTGATCAGGATGGAATATATTGCTATATCTCTGCCTCATTGACTTCTCTCTTAGATTGTAAGCTACTGGAGGGCAGAAATACTGTCTGTTTAATTTGTTTTGTGAGCTGATAATAATGATATTTATGATGAGTATACTATTAGCACAAGTTTCACGATTTTAGGTATGTGAGGCACCTGAGAGTATTCAACGGTTGTTTATTATACCTGGTAATAAGAGGTTGGTATATACTTTATATATGCTTTAAAATCAGTAATTCTATAGTTTTTTTTATTACAAGGGAAGGTTCTCTGGGGAGAATTGGGAAGTGACAGTGATATAAACACAATTTTAAAAAAAAAAGGTTATCAGTAGTTCTGGGACCTCTCTCTCACCTTTCCTTGATGATGACAGAGAAGGTTGTCTATTCCTTTCAGGCTGAGGACTCTGAATTGCTGATTTTCATGGTGCAGCCATTCTTCTAATCGAGTGATGGTATATCTGCTAGGAAGCCTCTTGGCCAGTGGACTCTGGAAAAGCTACATGTTGAGTGATAATAGCAAAATGATTAGAAAACTTGCTATTCACTGGAGAGAAAACACCACCCCCACCCCCACCCTCAATCATACACTTTGAGATTACAAGTCTGTATGAAGCTCATGAAGCTTCTACTGGTAAATTACTAATTTTTTTCATCCCACCCCTGAATATCCAAGATAGAATGGAGAACTCACCCAGCATTATTTCTGGGGCACAGCCTGGGAGGGAACTTATTGTCTTACATCCCTTCTGTACCCTACTTCTAAAGAATGATTCTTACCTCAACAAAGAAGGCTGCAGATGTAAGTCTATGTTTCTCATTCCCTCGATTAAGTAAAGGAATTAGCAAGTATAAGACCTTATGAGCAAGGATATCATGGTTTTCCAATAAAGCACTGTAAAGAAGAGGATTGGTATGATAATCCTATGTCAGAATGGGACTTGCCCAGGGGTTAACTGGAGCCACTGCACAGGGGCCCTTCAGGTAATCTGAACTTTCTGCATGGGATAAAGGTCTAAGGAGGGTGTGACAGTGGCCTGAATTCCTGCAAAATCTGCCTGGTGGCTTAGAATTATCAGTATTTGCCCTGCTCGCTTTGTGGAGGTCTTCCCACAGGCCACATACTATTAATTTCTTTAGGAGGCTAGGCTAAGAAAAGTACCATGACTAATAATGAAACACTGATGTCTTACTGGGCAAGAAGAGACACTCCTTCAAGATGAAAATTTTCTCCTTCTAGAAGCTTCCATCCTTTTTTCTTTTCCATGGCATCAAATTCATACCGACATGCTGTTCTTAGGAGGAGGGTCTTGGTAGCTTGCATGGCAAAGCTAAATGAAACCAATGCCAGAAATGAATGGATCCAATGTTTTCCTCACAGAAAAATCACATTTATACAACCTAAGCTCCATGCTCTGGTCTCACCACTGAGGGATGAGTACAAGCCCTAACAATAATTGTGAACCAGAGAATATATAATTGTATTTCTCTTCATTTCAGCTCCATTAAAATTCCCTTAATGTGCAAGAAACCCAAATGGGTAATATTGCCCGGGAAGACCTTACACTCCTACTTCCTAGCATTTGGAAATCCAATTAATTTTCTTTAGGGGAGGCATAGGTAGAAGACAGGATTGGTGACTATAATATGGGTGCTCTGAAGGATGAACAATACCTACTACTTTCTAAAACTGCTAAACTGTCCCACTTCTTATACTTGTAATAAGGACTTAAAATAAAATATTAGATTTGGAAAGGACACGAGAAATCGTCTAGTCCAAGAGGAGGTAACTGAGGCCCAGAGTGGGTAATTGGTTAGAGTGAGGTCTCATTGCCAATAAGTGGGAAAGTCAGGACTAGAAGCCATGCTTTCTGAGTCTTGCTTAGTCAAGTGTGAACTTTGCATTATCACGCTGCTTCTTCTCACAGCACCTTTCCTGAAAGAAGGCAAAATGATACACCAAGGACACCCAAAGGAGTTCCCACCAGCCCTATATATAAAAGGATGAAAAGCCATGAGGCAAAAATAAAATAAAGAACAGCACCATGGAAGTAATATTGTCTACATCTCAGTATTAACCTTGGGCACTTCTTTTTGCCTACTAAGGTTGTCACAGACAACCTGCCGGACATACTCTGATACTTCTCTTGTTGTCCCACTCTTTTGCAGAGAGCTTGCTTGGTACCTCTTGGTCAGGCCTAGCTACCAACAAAATGCTACAGGAAGTCAATGAGAGTGTCTAGTGACCCTCTTATTTTCTCTCTGTCTCATTAACTTTAAGCATGAGTATTATAACTAGCAGTACCTCAAAGGGGTAGAGGTGGAAGTCACTTCTTCCTTGGTATACACACCATTTGGGATAGTGATATCTGACATTGTAAGGCCAATGCTGTGATGGACCTGAATGAGGAGGGCCATGAGGAGTTGCGGGAAAAGTCAACACATTGCTGCTCAGAGCTTATTTCCCACAAATACCTCATAAAGAGCATCGGTTGCCTGAAAGAAACAGAAAGATACACATAATACCTGCCCACCCTAGTGCTAAGTTCCCATTTCACTTTTCTTCACACCAGCACATCTTACCTTAACCCCTTGTCTTACTGGTATAAGAGAACCTTATCAACATAAGCAAAAGAAATGAGAAAATTGCTCTTTGGTGGAGGTGCACTTGAACCCATGCTGTACATTACTGATGATAGAATTTGTTAAATATCAGAGCCAAGAGGGTCCTGAAATATGCCCTAGTCCAACCCCTCCTTGCAGATGAGACAAAGTGCATGGAGAAGAAGTGAACTGCTTAAGGTCATACAATTCAATGATGGCAGAGCTGGGTCTAACCCCCAGGTCTCTTCATTTCCAATTCAGTGCTCTTTCTGCATGGCATTACCACAGGGAGCCTCCAAGAATCACTATCTGAGTTTAGAGTTGCTGAACAAGAAGGCCTTGAGAGGAAGAGGGAAGAGGGAGAAGGGAGAAGGGAAGATAAAGAAGAAAATGACATCCCACCTAGCCACCTTTTTTTTTAAGGGTTGAAATCTATCCCAACACTTTTTAGCAACTTCAAAGCATCCCAGGTTAGTATCTGAATCCAGCTTTTCCTCTTCTCTTTTTCTTTTCCCTCCCATTTACACCGCATGTATCTTGTATATATGTGGTTGTTTACATGTTGTCTTAGAATGTGAGCTTCTTAAGGGCAGGGACTTTGTTTTTACCTTTCTTTGTATCCCTGGCACTTAGTATAGTGCCTGTCAAATAATAAGAACTTAATAAATGCTTGTTGACTCATTGACTCACTTCTCTGGATCACTAGAAATATATGCTAGGAAGCAGACACATTTGGCATGAGGATTAGAGGCATAAGCTAGGAATGAAGATGGGTCGAGAAGGTAGCTGTACCAAACTGGTAAGTCTTTTCACAAGCCATTCACCTTCCTCCCTCCACTTCCTTCCCTGTTCCCCTTGCTCCTTTCCCCCACATAGCACTCAGTACAGCACAGTGGGCTCAATCCGTGGGATATAAAAGTAGATAAGAGCTATAAAAGGGAGAACTCCTTCAATCTTTGTGCCTGCTTTCCAGACACCCCTGTCTATAACAGAGAGAACTCTACTGAAGATGGGAAAGGACATAAGATGGGTTACCGCCACAGCTACATAGTCCATCTTTTCCTAATACCCAGTGTGACACTCCTGAAGCTTCCGCAGCAGTCTCCACAGAATCCAAGTAGTGTTGGGCAAGTCAACATCAAGAGTCCTCCACAACTCAGACAAATGTCTGAAAATATCCCAAAGACCTTAGACAGAGGGAAAACAATGATTCAAGGAGCTAAAAAAACCCCATCATGTTGTCTGCTGGGAAGCCTCATTATGGCAAAAGTCATTGGTCTCAGTTCAGTTCCCCAGGACATGAGAAAACCCACCTTGTTAGAGCCGGTGAGCTATCTACCTCATTAGGCATAGAGATTGGAATTATTCTCTTCATCCTTATATGGATCTCAGCAAATTTTCTTAATAGTAAGTCATATGGGTTGAGCTTTCCCACCTCACCCAGACCGATATCTTTTTTTGCTTGTTTCTTTCTTGATTGAGTACCAGCACTGTTGACTCAAAAGCTGTGGGAGGTGGGGGAGAGGAGGAAATCATGACCAGGGAGACATGGGAAGAGCCAAGGAGGAAATGGAAGAGCCACCTACACAGTCATCTTGAAATCTCTTCTGTAAATATGTGGGCATCTTTGGTTTCCTGGGCCCCTGCTGTTCCCAAATTGTATTGTTCACTTGACAAACTTGATTAGTGCAAAAATTATAGCGTATTCCTTGCCTAAAAAAATATTCTAAGACATCTCAGACAGAATACTAAGCTTGACTACTAATGGGAAAATATGGAAGAGATATCTGAAAGTGTATGTGGCAGGGAAAAAAATGCCACTTCTAGAATGAAATGAAGAAATCTCTCTGCTCACCATTATTAATTACCTACAACAAGCCAACTTCTCTGAATTCTTGAGTTATTTCTACAGAGAACAGATGAGGTGCTCTTAGAAAATGGATTAATTCGAGCCATAAGTAAGTGCCTTTTTTTTTTAGTCTGTGGTTTGCTTGTCAATTTGCTGAGAATGCTTCAGGAAGAAAATGAGGGAATCTACTAAAACAGGGAAGCCTCCAGGGACTTGAGGAGGCACAGACCTTTTAAAAAACATGTGGATTGAGAGGTAGAATGGAATAAATTATCACACATAAGACAGACAAGAAAAAGCTTTTATAGTGGAGGGGAAATGGGGGAAGGTGAGAGGGAATGAGTGAATCTTATTCTCACAGGATTTGGCTTAAGGAGGGAATAACATACACACTCAATTGGGTATGGAAATCTGTCTTACTCTACAGAAAATAGGGGGGGAAGGGGATAAGAGAGCAGGAGGATGATAGAGGGGAGGGCAGATTGGGGGGGGGGTAATCAGAAGCAAACACTTCTGAGGAAGGACAGGGTCAAAAGAGAGAATAGAATAAATGGGGGGCAGGATAGGATGAAGTGAAATATACTTAGTTTTTCACAACATGACTACCATGGAAGTGTTTTGCATGACTACACATGTATAACCTATACTGAGTTGCTTGCCTTCTCAATGAGGGTGGGTGTGGAGGGAGGAAGGGAGAAAATTTTGAACCCAAAATTTTAAAAACAAAAGTTAAAAAAAATTTGTTTTTACATGCAACTGGGAAATAAGATATACAGGAAATGGGGTATAGAAATCTATCCTCCCCTACACGAAAATTGAAGGGGAAGGGGATAAGAGAAGAGGGGGAGAGATAGAAGGGAGGACAGGTTAGGGGTATTCAGAATGCATGCCATCTTGGGGTGGGGGAAGGGGGGAGATGGGGTGAAAATTTGGAACTCAAAGTTTTAGAAACACATGTTTTAAAAAAAATGTTTTCACATGCAACTGGGAAATAAGAAATACAGGAAATGGGGTACAGAAGTCTATCCTACTCTACAAGAAAATAGAATGGGAAGGGGATAAGAAAAGGGAGGGGGGAGAGATAGAAGAGAAGGCAGATCAGGGGAAGGGGTATTCAGAATGCATGCCATCTTGGGGTGGGGGAGGGACGAGATGGGGAGAAAATTTGGAACTCAAAACCTTGTGGAAGTGAATGTTGAAGACTAAAAATAAATTAATTTTTTAAAAAAACATGTGAATTGGTGAGGGAGGACACTACAGACAGAGTTGCAGCTGCCAAAAGAGCTAGAGATAGAGCTTAGAACAACTGCACTATGAGGAGAAACTAGCCATTAGCAGAGGAAAGAAGTGCCCTACCATTCAGCTTACCAGCTGCTACCGTAAACTTGTGGTACCTTGGGTAGCGAATTTGTACACATTACACAGTACTCTAAGCCCAGACTGGTGAATTAGGCTTTCTAATGGTCTTGACATTGCCAAAGAGTGTAGAGTTAGAGATAAGGACTGGACCTATGATTTCATATAAAGAACATAAAGAACTTATGGATGAGGAAACTCCTTCTGCTAATGAATTTATAGTCTTAGAGAGTTGCCTAGAGTATTAAAAGATAAAGTGATCTGCTGGGGTCACATGGCCAGTACATATGAAGCAGCATTTGAGCAAAGGTCTTCCTGGTTCCAAAGCCAGTTCTTTATCTACCAACCAATGCTGCCTCTCATAAGAATATAGTATTTCTCCCTCCAAAATATAGCATTCAACATACAGACATGGTCAATACTGAAAATAGTTGAGAATACAGAGGAGCAGAATTCCAGGAACTATCAATATACAAACTATTTAACAGTACATGTATATATGTATATTTTATACTATATATATATATATATGAATATGTGTATATAAAATTTGTCAAGAATATAGGAACAGCTAAGTTTCTTTACTAAATTGTTTCTATTCCTACCACCCATCAAAATCCTGATGTGATCCTAAGGATCAAGTAGAGGTCCTTGGAGATCTCCTTTGCCTGTCAAATGGAATTGGATGAAACAATAGGTGGTTGAGCACCACATCTGTATACTTGGGCCTGGAGATGAACAGGCTCACAATGCTCAAGGCCTGTTGGCGGGCATTAGGTTGACTGATGACGGGCAGCCGGACGCAAATAGCTCCTATGATGTCTGATACCTGAGATGAAAACAGTAAGCAACTACAACCTTGCTACTGTGTGTGACTGGATTTTAGTGCCATTCTTGTGGCCTCTAGAACTAAGAGAGGGACTCTCTAAGGCAACAGACAAGACTGAAAATGGGATATTCCTTTATCCTATCTTTTATGCAAATATGTGATAACATATTATGCGAGTTAATTTTTTTCTCCCAATGAGGCTATAAATTACTGAAGGGTAAGGCCCCCGTCTTAAATCTCTTTTGTATTTCTCTCACTATGCACATAGTAAATACTCAGCTCAACAAATGCCTACTTACTAAATGAAATAAAGAAAGCTTAGACACTGGTACAGCCTGAGTAAAGTTCTGGGCCAGGGTCCCTCTAGCAGCTGCACTGTATCCTCTAAGATAAGGTTTAACAGCCTAGCTTCAAATGTAACCATAAGCTTTAAAACTGACCTAGGCAACTAAGCAATAGGTTTGTTCCCCACATTTCTGATACAGGAGGTTAGTTCTCATGAATCTCTCACCTTCTCAAATCGTGTTTCAGCACTTTTAACCAATGTCACCAGCAACTCTCCTGCTGATTGTTGAGTACAAGGACGTTTCAGATTTTTCAGCCCATCCAAGGTAGTCACTATAAAATGACCAAGTTCATTTGGACTGAGAAAAACTTCAAAGACCTGAAACACATTAAGAGAAATGAACTCTCAGAAGTAGGGTCTGGTATAAAAGAGCCCCAAACCAAGAGCCAGTATCCTGGGCCTCTAGCTCCATCTGTCTCTGCCATTAACTAGCTCTGCAAAGTTGGGCAAATCACTTATTCTCTCCGAACTTCAGATTCTTCATCTGTAAAAAATTGTTAAAGGTCTTAGTAATGTAGGCTCTAATTAATAAATAACAACAAGGAAATAACAGGTGGGCTTAAGCAAAGATCCTTAACTTAGGATCCAAGGACCTTTTAGGGATCCATGGATACAGTAATATCTGCCCCACCTACCTCGCAGGTTTATTGTGAGGATAGAATGAGATGATGCATGTCTAAAGCATCTTAAGAAGCATAAAGTGTGACATAAATGAAGGTGATTCCATCCTTGATTCCTACACTGCTACATAAGTTGTACAAAGTGTTTCCATCACAAGGACCCTGGAGTAGGTGTATAGGCTTTATGACATGCATTTTTAAAGATGAGAAAACTAAGAAACAGAGATGAAGTGACCTGCTCAGGATCACATGTGTTTGACCTGAGATTCAAACTTGGATCTTCTGACTCTCAGACTAGTGGGCTTTCCACCACACCCAGCTGTCTAACAAGGTGCAATTACTGATACCCTAGAGGCTAGAGAGATGACTTGGAGAAAAGAAGGCTTAGATTTAGACAAAGTACTATATCAAATCCTTCTGTACCACCACTGTGCCTCAAATCATTCAAGTCAAGTCATATTAAGTCAATCCAAAAACTTTGAATCTTTGACCTTGAAAAAGATGAGAATATTTATAGGCCAAGTGGGAAGAGGTGGGAAGAGAAGAGCTTCTATAATATTCAAATAATTCTTTCTGCAGATCAAGGGTTCTTAACTTTTTTGTGTGTCATGGAACCCTTTGGTTTTTTGGTGAAATCTATGGACGCTTTACAGAATAATGTTTTCAAATAACTAGAGTAAATACTAAATTTCAGTTAGATTGTAACAAAAATAAAGACATGAATTTTTTTTCCCATCCAAGTTCTCAGATCCTCTGAAAAATATTCATGTATTTCTTTAAGGTCCAGGAGTCCTAGGTTAAGAATCTTTGCTTTAGACCCATCTATAACTCTTTGCTATTAGCTTTTAGGTAAACATTTCCAAGACTTTTAACAACACATACATTTTTTTTTAGGAGCAGACTAATAGATCATTACTCTATTTAGGGTAATATCTGTAATCCATCATAGTTACATATTATTTATTCTCTAATACATACCACTGTACAAAGAGAAACTACTCACCTTCATTAAGGAAACATGATCTACTTTTGATATAATTTCAGTACGATCTATTCTTAGGAAATACTTATTTTCCCAGTAGCAAAGGCTGGATATTTAGGATTGCTTAGGAGGGATTTTTACTTAGGTACAAGTTGGTCTTGATGGCCTGTGAAGTCTCTCAGCTTTCAGACTTGGTGATGTGATGATTCTGTGATTGTACTAAGTTTTCTACATTCTGTCATCCATTCTCTTAGTGACGAGGCCATGCTTTTGCCAATACAAATGACACACAATTGCATGGGGTTAGGGGTGCAATCTGTGAGAGAAGAATTGCATGGTTCATTCCTATGCAGTTTTCCATGAGCAGGGATCCAACCTGTGATCTTGGCCTCCTTCACACCATCTTCTAACTAACCAAGCAGACTAGGCCAGATCTATGCGGAGTGTTGAGAGAAACCAAGCACCTGCCTTCCAGAATCACGTCAATTACCTTTGCAATTTTGAAGGGGTTGCTGTAGAACTGTTTGATGCTGCAAATTTCTAGGAATTCTTTACATTTTTTCACTGCTTCTTTTAAACTCTGGTGATTCTTTTTGTCATTAGTGATACCTGAAAAATACATGGAATATGTTGCACACTTTCATCTTTGCTTCTTTTCTGAAGATTTTATAAATTAGTGTCCAGTGACTGAAGATCTTCATCTAATCTGCAACTGAATATTAGTATCTCCATGCCCAATTTACAGTGTTTTTATAACTATGATTTTATTTTTGCCTGAAAATACATGCAATTGTCTGCCAGCTTCCCTGAGGCAGCGACAGATTGGCAACTGTTCACAGATAAATCGGGCTACCGATGGTTACTTGTAGACTAAGAGACAAACTATCCTAGCAGGAAGTTTTAAAGAGAAAAATATCAATAGGAAAGATGGAGGATGTGTGTACATGGGGCAGAAGGAGGCTGGTTTGGGACAAGAGGGGCATAAGATGACAATGTATAGGAAGAGGAGGGATTCCAGACTGAAGACTTGCTCTAAACAGAACAGAGTGGATACTACCTCTTCTATTTGTTTCTGTCCCAAGTTTGGCCAACACAATCATCTAGGTTAGTACCCTGCTGATTAGCAGAGAGTCCCAGGATGCAGTGACTCCTGTTGCACTGCTGATGTGCACTGTGCACTGTGGCCACATACATTCCAGCAATTTTACTACTGCCTCTCAGATAAAATACAGACTACTCCATTTGGCATTTAAAAACCCTCCACAATCTTGTTCCAAACTGTATGATTATGCTGATTTCACATTTTACCCCCTCTCAAATACTCTCCAGCCCAACCAATGCTCATTTTCGGGTCCCAAAATTCTCCTTCTTGCATCTCTTCTTTCGTACAGACGCTCCCCCATGAGTGGTGCACTCTCTCTCATGCCTCTTGGGTGCCCTCGCTACCTTCAAGGCATAGCTCAAATGCTGCCTTCCTCACTAAGCCCTTCTGGATCTCCACCTCCTGCTCCACCCCAGGCACCACTGCTTCTCCCTGCCCACAAAGGACTTTGAATTTCTCTTGTATAGAGTCCCTATTTACTTTTCTGTGTAAATGTGGGTCTTCATTTCCTAAAACAAATAAGCTCCTTAAGGGTAGGGACTGTTGATATTTGTCTTTTTATCCCCAGTATCCAGCACAGACCTGGACAATCATTTGACAATGACAATTAGCTTTTATTAAGTGTCTACTGTTTCTTGCAATGTGCTAGATGCTACTGTACCCAAATATAATGAATGAAATAATCTATTTAAAAAGAGCTTATACACACAGTAGGTGCTTAATAAATACCCGTTGAATTGAATAACAACAACCCATATTTCTAGAGCCTTCTAAGATATATAAAACACTTTCCTTATAACAGCCCTGAGAAGCAGGTAAGGAAAATATTACTATAGGTGGTTTTTGCCTAGGGTCACAAAGTACCTAGTGTCAAAGCTGGGATTCAAATACAGGCATTCTGACGTTGAATCCAGCATTCTTTCTACTGTAACATATTGTCATATAGAGAAGTTTGGCCCATCGAACCATCTTGCTAGCTGGCATGTAGACTCTGGTGGCTTAGACTCTCTCAGCCTGTGGCTGCATTGCTTGGTCTCTACCCAGGGACTGTATGACTTGCCTGTCCTTCTCTTGTCCAGTTTTGGTTTTTTTAAAGCTTTCTGCAATGGAAAGAATGACGGTGGGGAGAAGTAGCTTATTATTGCCTAAAGAAGAAACCACTGAGGTCCTGCAGGGTTTAGGTGTTTACTTACACTTCAGCCTCAGGGTGATGTGGAGCAGGTAGTGGGTGCCCTCTGCAGCCTCTTGAGCCACTTCCTCCACCGGGTCCCCACAAAGCAGGGCCATCAGAGCCACCAGGTTCCCCAGTTTTTGAAACTGCAGAGGGGGCTAATTAGGAGGGAAAAGAGAAATGAATGAGTTAGCACCACCAGCTCTCTTTGGACTTGCTCTCCTGGTACTATACTTCAAACTTTACATTAGAGTTGTCATGATTCTACCCTAATGAAGGGCAGGTTTTGTTAGCAGCCTTCTGACCTCTCTCTGTTTGACTATAATTAACAACTGTGGACCCAGAGTCACCCACACCCAGCAGGCAGTATGAAAACAAGGAACTCCTGACCTAAGATGAGCATTTCACTCCCTTACTAACATCACTCTCGCTAATCACTTGGGCCTTGCTTCCTGGTCTAGGTTTATAATACTAACTTGCTCCTTAGCTAAATTGCCTGAGTTTGACTGCCTGCTTTCCTAGAAGGTGAGGATTTTGGTCATGGGAATATCCATAGGATTTAGAGCTAGAGAGGACCTTAGAGATCATTGAGTCCAATCTCCCCATTTTCCAGATGAGGAAACTGAGTTCCAGAGGAGCTGAGTAGCTTACACAAGGTCATACAGCTAGTAAGCAGCAGATCTAGGATTTGAATGTGGATCTTCAAACTCCCAAGCCAGTGTTCTTTCCATTTTACTATGCTGTCTCTCAGGTCTGTCAGGTGTGCTTCAGGGGCTGTGACCCTATAGGCCATTCCCATGTCATTGCTTCCCACCCCCCAGAAAGGCAATACTTCACAGGGGCTCATATCCAGGGCCCTTTTTGGGGTGGTCATAGAAAAATGGGAAACATAGTTCTTTGGGGGCCTATAGGAAAGAATCTAAAGCTTTACACCGAATCTACATTTTAGTCTAGTCCCAAGAGGCAAAGGTACTGAGCTGTGCTTCTAGTCTGTTTCCAAAATACTCCCTTGATAAGAAACTCTGAAGATTCCATTGAATGGAAAGGGATTTAAATGGATGGGAAGAGTCTCAAGAAAGATCTGTCTTCCCTAAACTGCAGCCAAGATGAAAGGTAGAGAAGACAGCTCTATTCAGAACAGTCAAATATAAATTTAGGAAGGGAGCTCAATTATTAGAGTCAGAAGAAATGGGCTAATCACTTGAGTCCAAAGGGTCACTTCTTTTTATGCCTTGGAATAGAGGAAAAAAGGAAGTGATACAGTTTGTGTATCATTTCAGTGGACAAATAAGGATACAGGATAGCTTGTTTATCTTTTCTGTTAGAAAAATAAAGAAGCTAGTACAATCCTACTAAATTTTCTCAGAGGTAGGATGGTTTCTGACCCACTTCACTCCCTAATTCAAGGGTGGCTTACTTGCAGGTTGAGATGTCTAGATAGGCATCCCAGCATTTGAGACACGCTGACTGTAGCTCTTTCACGTTCATGGTCTTTTGCTGACCGTAACCATGGCTCCATGTGCTGGAGGAAAAAGGGAGAACAAGTGTATTAATCAAATTCAATGGGACAGATGAGGGATTCCCAAATTACCTTTACTCAAATCACATGAGAATTAGGAGGCAGGACACCCCCCCACCATGCTCTTCTGTAACTGTCATATTATTTTTTGAATAGAGAAGTAATGCAATAGAGTTGGAACAGGAGATATAGTACAAAGAGCACAGGCCAGGACTCAGGAGGCCTGAACACTGCAGCTAACTAGCAGGATCACTTTGGGCAAATGACTAAATCTTTGAGTGCCTCAATTTTATTACACATAAAATGGGGATAACAATAATTTCCTTGCCTACTTCAAAGGGTCGTTGTGAGAATTAGCTGAGATAAGAGATGTAAAACTTTTTTTCTAAAGCATTAAATACCGCATTAGCACAGGTTTTGTTAGCATTACTGCTTTTTCTAGGGTGAGATCATCTGTCGTGCACTTCCCATACGGAAGGGAGTCCAAGTATTCATATGATCTTTGGTGCCTAGGACACAGGGCAAAACTTCTTCCTTTACCTTCCCCCCCCAACTAATAATCATTTTATTTTCCACTTCATTGTAACTTCAAAATTAGCAATTTAAACTCACTTTCACCCTAATTACCTTGAGAGAGAAATGAAAGTTAGTTTACAGCTTGAATTATCTAATACTTTCTCTTTCACTTGAGATTTAGTCTCCAAATGTCTAGCAACTGATGGTAGGACTATGTTACAAAGTTCTTGTGCCTATAACATATTGTATCCCTTGGTTTCCTTTCATTATTCCAGGCATAATTCCATACCATTTAAATAAGAAAGCCCTAGTACCTAGGGCATCTTTACTTGGGGCTAAATCCATACTCGCCACAACTACTGTACAACCCTGAGTGACAGAAAATCATACTATAGAATCACAGAATTTGAGATCTGGAAGAGATCTCAGCAACCATCTAGTCCAATCCATACCTGCAGATGAATCCCAACTACAACATGCCTAACAAGGAGCCATCCTACCTTTATCTGAATCCCCGAGTGATGGATAACCTGCTGCCTCCAGTCCTTGAGAGCTCTATTATTAGAAAGTTTTTCCTTACACCATACTTAACTTTGCTTTTTTGCTTCTTCTCCTTAACTGTTCCTTGTTCTGTGCTTTGAGGCCAAACAAAACAAATCTAATCCCTTTCATGTGACAGCCCTTCAAATACTTGAAGACAGCTATCATATTCCCCCTTAAGTCTTTTCTTCACCAGGCTTGAATACCCCAGTTCTACCGTATATCATCATGCCTTAAAGTTTAAAAAGCATTTCCACATATATCATCATAGCTGAATCTTCCAACATTCCTTGTGAGGTAGATGATACAGGTACATTACCCACATTAACCAATGAGGAACCTAAAGCTAAGAACTGAGTGACCTGTGCAATGTCACAGAGCTGTGGCTAAGCCACAAACACAGGTCTTTTGACTTCATGTCCATGGCTCTTTCCAATATATCTTGTGCTGTACAAAAGCTCATTTTGGAAGAAAGGGCATCTTTGATCTTCCTCCCAGATTCTGGACCCTAATATACTGTAGCTATAGAGCTGCACTAAAACTGTCCCCAGGCTATATCAAGCCCTAAATGCTATCTCCTTTATTCTCTCTATGGTAAAGTTCCACTAAGAGTTAAAAGGTGTGATCTGTTTTATGACCATTATTATATTCATTATGAATTGTCAGATTGGACTAGCCTCTGTTCACATTAACAATGTATTCAAACATCTGCTTCTGCATAGAAACATAAATATTAAATTTCATAATTGTTTGCTATTTTTTCCCATTCTAGTTGAGTATAAAGTTTCCTTGATTTGAATTTCCCTGATTATTAGGGAATCTGAGCATCTCTCCACATGGTTAGGCAGTTTATATTTTCTCCTTTGAAAATTGTCCCTTAATTTCCATTGACTACTGATTCATTGTGGAATACATACATCACCAATTTTAAAGCTATGTAATGATTTCATATGGATTCTGGTGGTTAGAACAACTCTTTATTTTAATAAATATTTTGACTAAATATTTCTCTAGTTCATTTGTTTTCTTTAATATTAGAGGTATTTCTTTTTGCTGTATGAAATCATTTTTATTTGTGAATAATCAAACTCACTATGTCTCTTAATAATCTCTTTCCATTGTTTCAGTGATAAAAAATGGTTTTCCACTCTATATTTGGGACCTAATCTATTATTCCTTTTTCTCCTAGTTTTTTAAATTGGAGAGTTTTTTCCATTTACATATCTTTACAACTGTTAGGGTTGTTTTTCCTATTCATTCTATTGGAAGTGAATATACACTTTCTTACTCTTACCCTTTCTGTTATTAACCTAAATAAACTTAATAAAACCATTCTAAAGAAAGCTCCAGCCAAATAGCTGAGTGTTTGTAACTAAGCAGCTTCTTTGTATCACCTTAAAACAGGGGTAAAGGCACCAAATAAAATAAAAGAACAGTGCAAAAAGATGGGACAGAAGGAAACTCTAAAAAGAAAAACTTCACAGTAAAACTAACAGAATGACTAAAGAAATGAATAAATAAAAAAGCGCTAATATAACAAAAAACAAATAAATATTATGGGGCAAAGGAAATCCATGTATAATCTCTGCAATGAAAGAGTAAGACTATACTAACCCTGGACTCTGGCTGCCCCAGCAATGTTAGAAGGCGGCAAAGCCAATAACCCATATGGTGGTTTACATAAAGGAAGCTCTGACATCTGTAAAACTGGCAATAAAACTGCTGAGAGAAGAATTCAGAAGACTGACATGAGAACTAATGAAAGAAAAGAAAATGGAAAGTTTCAATGAAACAGCAGATTCTGAGTGGAATGGCACAGGAAGAAATAAAGAATTCAGTGTCAAAAGAACAAACAACAGAGGAATATTTTTTATAAAAGGCAAAACTAGAAAAGACCTTCAGATCACTACAAGATAAAACAAGCACTAAAGGACAGAGCTCAGCAAGACTATCTGAGAATGATTGGTATTCCAGAAAAAAATTACAAAGTCTGAATACCATATTCTAGAAAACCTTACAAGAAAATTGTTCAGAAGTACTGAAAACACAAGGTAGCATGCAAATCAATATAGGCTTTAGGATGCCAACATAAAGGAATGAGAAATTTCAATCACCTAGAAATGGGGTCATGAAGTTCTAGAGCTTCCATGTAAAAGAATATTACAAGTAGCCAAGATGAAGCAATTCATGTGTAAGAAAATACTATGATAACTGCACATGTATAACCTATATTTGATCACTTACCATCTCAGGGACAGGGGAGAGGAGGGGGGAAAGGAGGGATAGAATTTGGAACTCAAAACTTTAAAATAAAAATGTTTTTAAAAATGGGAAAAAAAGAAAATACTATGAATTTCACAAGATGATTCAGCAATGATGAAAAGGCTAGAATGTGAACTGTAAAGTAATATAATAGATGTATGTATATATGTAATATATATAATGTATATAATGTAATAATGCAATAGAATGTAAACTGTAATGTAAACTGAAAAGTGAGAAAAACCAGTCTGACTTCCAATATTATAGATTCTTCTAAACTAAGCATATGCCATCAAGAGAAAAGCTGGTTTTGCCCCTCCTCTTCCTTGTTCTCTGGTTCTAGAACTTTCATGAGCTTAGTCACCAGAGGGAATGACAAAAGTCACAAGGTACATGGAAAAGGCAATGAGCATTTTCTTTCAGCCTAAAAAAGCCTCAGTGGAAGATGCTAACTGAAGGGGAGGAGTATGGGGAAATACTACATGTACCCTGTGGTAAAGGAGAGGTAAATGAAATTGAATTTCTCTAAACGTGGCAGGGAGTAAGAACAGGGGACCTTTGATTTAGAAGAGCCAAGTTGGGTTTTGATCACTTTAGCTAACCTTTTATGTGCCCATAAACAGTGCTATTGGTATAATTAAAAGTGTCTTAAATGCAGCCCCAAAGTATGTTGGCCTAGATAATTTCATTCTAAAAGAACTATAACATATGAAAACAATGTTTATTCTTGGTTTCAGGGAACTGATGATGGAACACATATCTCTCCTTTTGATAAAGTAATATAGACTATATAGGTATAGACTGTTGCAAATATAATTACTACATTGGCTTATTTTGTTTAATAATTCTTTGGCATAAGAGAGGATTCTGTTGGGGGAAATGGGATTCTGTTATTGGAAAGTGATGGCGGTGCAAAAAAAAAAAAGCATCCAAAGAACATTTTTCAAAGAACTCCAACACTTGGTGTAGAGAGTGCATGGCAAGTATAGAGGTGGGGGCATAGGAGAGTAGCAGCAAATCATTGCAAGAGAGCAAGTGATGCTAAACTTATTATGGGAAAGGAAAACCTTTTGGGGCAACTCAATTCAACTCAACAAGCATTTATTAATTACTCACTTGTGCCAGGCACCATCCTATAGATTGGGGATACAAAGACGAAAATAAAAGTCACTTTCCTCTAGAGGCCTTTTGAAGACAATGGAGACAGTCTTCAGACAAGCACTAAGGGAAAGTAAGGACACTACAAAAGTTGCCATGATTGGTCAGGACTGGGTAGAGGCCACAAAGCTGTGAATGTGGGAGCTGAAAGAAATCAAGCTATGGAAGTGGTGATGCGAGCAGCAGTGAGGGAAGTGATCAGATTCCAGGGGAAGCAAGAAAACACTCAATACAGAATAAGCCCTTCACTGAGGTCTCTATCAATTCAACGACACTAGGACTTCTCTTAATGCTTCACATATTGTTGCTGCAAACTTCAGCAGAAACTAAGACCAAACCATTCTGAAGGAAGCGTAATAATAAACAGCCCTCATCAGGAAGTTGGACTGTGACTATTCTTATTCTTTTTTTTGATAAAGGCAATAAGAACTGTCTGATGGACTGGTAACCAGTCCCTTCTCTGCCCTTGACTGTTTTAACTACTTTATGTTGAAATGTAGATTGGAAACATTTTGCTTTCAGGGACT